TAATATTTTGGGCTCTAGGAGCCACAAAGAAAACCAAAATGCACACATGCTAATATCCAACGGTAAAAGGTACAGTTTCTACACATAAACTACATACCATGGCTGCACCCGTTAGCCATTCCTAGAGGACTTCTAATACCTAACGCCATGTCAATGCTGTGGGAATGGTGATTCTAGTGTTTAGGGAATCACAGTGAGAAGAAAACCTGCATGTGTTCAGTACAAATATACTTCCTTTAAAAAGATTTATTTCTGGGGGCTGGAGGGATGGCTCAGCAGTTAAGAGCATTGCCTGCTCTTCCAAAGGTCCTGAGTTCAATTCCCAGCAACCACATGGTGGCTCACAACCATCTGTAATGAGGTCCGGTGCCCTCTTCTGGCCTTCAGGCATACACGCCATCAGAATATTGTATACATAATAAATAAATAAATATTTTTAAAAAAGATTTATTTCTTTATTATGCATACAACATCCTGCTTCCATGTATGCCTACAGGCCAGCAGAGGGTACCAGATCTCATTACAGATGGCTGTGAGCCACCATGTGATTGCTGGGAATTCAACTCAGGACCTCTGGAAGAGCAGCCAGTGCTCTTAACTCTAAGCTATCTCTTTAGCCCCACAGATATACTTTCAAAATGTGTGTGTGTGTATGTGTGTGTGCGCGCGTGCCTGTGTGTGCACATGTGTGTATGTGTGCCAGTGTGTGCACATGTGTGTATGTGTGTCTTGTGTTTGCGCACGTGTGCGTGTGCGCAGGCGCGTGTGTTTAAATTGTTGACTCTGCAGATATGGAGCCTAAGGATGCAGAAAGTCAACAGTAACTCGGCGGAGGCTGCTGAAAAGTGGAACTGAGTGAGATTCAGACTCCGCTCTGGCTAACTCAAGGCTCCAGCCACCTGCTCCAAACATCTGGCACAGGCTCCCCCCACACCCCCAACCTGGAACCTGACTTACGTCTTGTCGTGTTGTGGCATAGTGGAGGATCCCATCCTCAAGCACAAAGTACCTCTGTATGGAAGGGGCAGGACCAGGCAGCCAAGAGCGTGGCGTAGGGAGAGAGCAAACACACACAGTTGTCTTCTCCTGCAGCACGCATGAATGCCCGGGCTGGCCAACAGTTCCCACAAGTAGCTCCTCCCTTGCCCTGACACCCTACCTTGTGCCAGCCCTTAAGAGGCCACTTCCTCTTCTTCAGCAGGTGTCCTTCCTGTCTCTCAGGCATGATGTCCTCTGCTCCCAGTCTGCCCCGAGGATCCTCTACCACCTCCCACAGCTCGGAGGCCTGTAATCCAGGGTGGATAGGGGGCAGCAGCTGGTTAGCCTGCCACCTCAGCCGATCCCCCAGGGACCCAGGGTAGGCCCAGCCACCACTACTTTCTACTCAGACCTGCTGGGTGCTGCTGGGCTTTGACGATTGAGTGCTCTCAGTCAGGGAGGGAGTGTCTCTTTCCTGGAAGTCCATGAGGAAGGAGAGGGTACTCCCTGGTGAGGAGGGCAGAGCAGGGGGCAAGGGAAGGGTGTCACCTTGTCCTGGGAAATCCCTTGAAGCAAAAGAGAGAACCATGAGTACGACCCTGCTGTCCTGTTCCCCACCGCTCCTGCCCTAAGATCCACATCCCCCACTTGCATGCCAACCCCACACCCCCAGAATGCCTTGACACCACCATGGATCTCGCCAGCAGCACCCAACTCAGCCCCCCACTGTGGCCACTGCCAGGGGGGTAAGTTAGCACTCAGTATATGGCTTCACCCTGGACATACACCCCAGGAATCCAGGAAATGTTGGTTCCTTGGGGTTGGGGAGGAAAGAAAGAAGAAGGTTTAAGAAGAGATGGAAGGACTCAGAGACTAGGCGGGCAAGAGCTCCTCAGTTCAGCTGCCTTTTCCTCTGGGATCTCTTTGCCTACTTCTACGGCTTGGCCACGACTGCCCTGCAGACCACCCCTTAGCTGCCAGTGCTTCTGCTCCCATTTTCTGCACAGGGAAACTGAGGTCTGAAGCAGTCCTGTTTTCCCACGCCTCCTCCCTCCAAACGTGCCCCGAGGATAACCACCTTGGGATTTTTTCCCTGCTCCTCCACCTACCACGTCAGTCCTCCGTGCTCCTGAGAAGCACCTCCCACCCAGCAGGTGCAGGACCCTGGCTGGCTGAGACACTGTGGGTGGGAGAAGAGGTGACCAGGAACATGACCAGGTCTGTCCAGGTCCCGCGGTAGTGCCCACAGGCGCCCTTGGCACTGGTTCTGGCCGTCCTGGCTCCGCCGGGAGATCAATAATGCATGAGGCTGTGTGTGTGTGTGTGTGTGTGTGTGTGTGTGTGTGTGTGTGTGTGTGAAGGGGGAGGGGACTGGAGGGGTGATGTTCTCCTGTGTCTGGGGAAGCAGCTCAGAGCTTATGCAGCTAGCAAGCACCTGAGGAGTTAAGGCCAGAAGGGACAGGAAAAGGCAGTGGAAGTGTGGCCAGGAGGTCACAGCAGAAGGACCCAGACTGTAAGAGGCTGACCCAAGGGGAAACTCCTGCATTTGACCATTTGAAGTTTCCAAACTCTTCCGGTGTTTGGGTATTTCTATGCCCTTGTCCGGGCCCCTAGGACCTGGGCCATTCGCTGCTGGCTCCCGGCAGAGGTGGGAGGTGTCTGGCAGTAGGAAGGAGATGAGCCAGGTGAGTGTCCCCCTAACACCTCCATTCTCAGCCTCTTCACTGGAGGAGCAGACCCTCCAGCTCCAGAGGAGAGGAAGCCCTCCCAGTAATGTCAAGTGGTGCCAGCAAGGCCCCCTTACCCCAGAGTCCATGGACGCCCTTGCTTCTTGGTCCGTACACTGATCCGCCTCTGAGTCACTGTCCCCGAGTCGCCAGCTACCTCTTCACAGAGCTGAGCAGTGGCAGCAGCTGCTGCAGGAACCAGGAAGGAAGGAGACGTCGGAGCCTCCCCTCCAGCCGGATCTCCCCACCTGCCCCTCCCCCGTCGCCTCCTCCCGCCAAGCTCCGGGCTGCCGCTCAGCTCTGCCCCCCTGCTCCCGGGAGGACTAAGGACCGAGTGGTAACGAATGACTTGGAATTGAGGGGCGCAGTCCCCACTGGGCATAGTTCCACGTGAATCAGAGGACTGGAAAAATGCTGGCTTCCAGCCACAGGAGGTAAAGGATTTGTTCATTCAGGCTAGCATGGCCTTGACCCTGGGAGCACTCAAGGCCATTTCCTGATACAACCGGGCCTCTCGGTTTACACCTGAAATAGAGGGCGTATTTTGGACTAGCAAAGATATCAGGTTGACTGTGTAGGGACAAAGATGTCCTCCCAACTCACACCACCCCTGCATACTCTGGGACTGGATAAGACAAACTATGCCAGAAGACTAGTCAGCAGGCCACTGAAGGGACAAGGGACAGCTGAAAACCCAGAGGCTATTCACTGCTAGGATGGCTTACCAGGTCGGCTGTGGGGCTCAGGAGAGGCCGGTGCAGTGAGTGTCTGGGGTGGGACCAGCTATGGGGCAGTCACAGGCTGGTTGTTGTTATAAAGGAAAGCCAACTTGGGAAAGCCTCTGACCCTCAGACACCTTTACCCACTGCTGGAACACTAAGTTCAGTTGCTGAAGTAGTCAAGAATTGGCTCTTGAGAAATACCTACAATTCATCCAAATGGACGTGCTCTGACTGACAGGTTTGGTTCCTAAGAAATGGCGGCACCACAAGCAGATGTGGGTGTGAAGGCTCTACTATGGCCTCAGAAATGATGTGGAGCACTTGTCTGCTCCACCTTGTCAGACTCAGGGATACCTGGTGTCTGGGCTCCCTTCAGTACCTCAGCCAGCATGGATGCAGCCTTCCAGGAGGGAGTGGGCAGCACCAGTAGGCCTCTGGAAGCAGAGCCACCCGGTGGCACTGGGCAAAGCTGCTGACATTCAGAGCCTCAAGGGCCTTTTAAATGATTGAGCATCCCTGGGCATCCGCAGAGCTGGGCTCGGTAAGAAGCTGGTCCTGGCACAGGCCAGAGGATAGCTGCTGCAGATCTCCAATCCCAGTGTCTGTCCGGGACTGAAGATGCTATGGCATGGCTCCAAGTCTGGGAGAAAGGCTGAGGAGCCACTCCTCATTCAACACCATCCATTCAGGATGTGTTCCGATCAAGGGCAATGCAGGCCACAGGCTAAGCACCTTTCTTGTTAGAGGTACCGCTGGCTCTCCAAGACCCAGGGAAGGTCTCCTGTGACAGCACCCCAAGAGCCGGGAAGGCCTCTTGTGACAGCCCCCCAAGACCCGGGAAGGCCTCCTATGACAGACCCCCAAGACCCGGGAAGGCCTCCTGTGACAGCCCCCAAGGCCCGGGAAGGCCTCCTGTGACAGCCCCCCAAGACCCAGGGAAGGTCTCCTATGACAGACCCCCAAGTCCCAGGAAGGCCTCCTACAACAGCCCAGGACCCGGGGAGAGCCTCCTGCGGCAGCCCCCAGAGTCCATATTAAGTGAATTCTAGGCTGGGGCATGGTAGTGCACGCCTTTAATCCCAGCACTCGGGAGGCAGAGGCAGGTGAATCCCTGTGAGTTTGAGGCCAGCCTGGGCTATAGTTCCAGGATAGCTAGGACTGTTACACAGGGAAACCCTGTCTCAAAATACCAAAAAAAAAAAAAAAAAAAAAAAAAAAAGTGAATTCTAGCTCCCCCAGATTTTTTGTGCCACCAGCCACAGCCTTCATGAGGATATGACATCTGTAAGGGCAGGTGACTAGGGAGGAGGGTTTTTAGGAAGGAAAGCGAGAATTCAGAGATAACCCAGAGAATAACCATAAGATGAAGAGTCCAGGGCTGGAGACTCGGCTGTCAGCACCTGTTGCTCTTCTGAAGGACTCGGGTTTGATTCCCACCCACACTGTGGTTCACCATCACCAGCAACTCTAGCTCCAGACCTGATGCCCTTTCCTGAACATAAGTACGAGGCACACACGTGGCAGAGATTTAAACTTAGGCACAGTTTTACACATAAATCTTAAAAGACAAGAGTCCATAAAACATATTTTATTTTTAATCACAAAGAAGTTTCCCCACCCCTTCCACAGCCCAGCAAACCCCAGGGCGGGACACTGAGCTCTGAACCCACCCAGGATCTGCTTCTGGGTAACTTTATGAAGAAGTTCTGCTATGGAAAATTGAGGCTTCAGGGAATCAAATTCAAGGCCTTATTCAGGACTTCAAACTCTGCCCTTTCCTAAATGGTAAGGAGCTGGCCCCTGTGTTTAGTACAGCGCTTGGCAGAGGATTCAGCAGGTGCCATTCACAAGGTCCATCATGGCATGCAGAGGAACCAAGAGGGTGGCTGGGAAGACAGACAAGGGACAGTGGCCAAGAGGGCTGGGCGAGATGATTGCCATCTTCTGCTCTGTGTCTGGAGAGCTGAAGGAGGCTGTCCCTATCAGGTCCCTAGTCGGGATGACTAAAGACAACGACTTGTGAATCTGAAGACAATGGACAGCCTCATTCTGAAGTGGAATTTTTCTCTATCTTCAAGAGGCCTGTCCCTAAGGAGGTCACTGAGAACCAAGTCACACATGCCACACCCGCACTTCAAATTCTTTTAGATCTCTACCAGACCACAGGGACGGAGCTGGGTACAGCAGGCGGGCTATGACTCCGGAGCGGGGTCAGGAGGAGGGGGCTTCCCACTGGCTGGCGTGGCAGCCTCATCCTCGTGTTGCTGTTTGACATGCTGATCCAGCAGGGCAGTCAGCTGGGCAGGCTGGTGCTGAAGCAGGTAGCAGGTCTGGGCCACGAGGCAAGTGAGTCCTCCAACCAACTCCCTTTGCAGCAGGTCCAGGCTAGGCAGCTTGGCATAGTCTACGAGCCCCTGCCTGCTGAGGATGGTATCATCAATGCAGCCACCTGGAAGACCGAAGGGGCATTGGGTTTCTGAAAGTGCTCTTCTTGAGACATCATCCCAACCCAAGAACCTGCTCTCCAGGACCCTCCCCCCTTCCAGCTGGCCCTAAAATCAGGGTCACACTTGTGCCTCACCCCACTTCTGCTGTTGGGCACCAATCCCCTCCTCCTTCCCTGAAAACAAGCACCTGGTCTCACACACCCTAACTTCTTTGGAGCAGGCTCCTGGAGTGCAGAAATGAGCTGCCGTCTAAATGGCACAGATACACAGTGACAGAGATGGATGGGCTGCCACCTGCACGACACTACCGTGTGTAACCACTCAACTACACACTTACACACCGGGAGGATGGTGTATCCCATGCTGTGTGTATTTTGCAATGAAATACTAGGGAAAGAAAGCCTTGGAGTGTCAGGGGCGTGACTGTAAATATAAGTTCCTAGGAAATCTGAATTTTCTGGGGCCATAAGGAGTCTCCTCTACAGACTGAACCCCAACACAATGGTCACAGCACTGGTCCTCAGCCCTTTTTATTTGAGATACTTGTTTCCTTATTATTTTTCAGTGTTTTTACTTATTTATTGTGGGGGCGGGGAGGCGTGCACATACCACTCAGTTCTCTCCTTCTATTTTGTGGGTCCATGGCAACTGAGCTCAGATCCTCAGGTCTGGCAGCAAGACCTTACCTGCTGAGCCACACTGCTGGTCTAAGAGATACTGATACCTTCACCAGTACCCACCACCTGACAGGTAAGACTCAGAGGGCCCGATGCCCCCTCCCCTCACTGGGAGACACCCTTGCTCCCGTTCCTCCAGCACAGAAATGATGTGGGGCGGTGACACAGCACAGGTATTCAGTGACACATCAGTCCCCAAGAATCATGGTGACTCAGGCCTCATCCACCAGAGGCTCTGCCACCCACCTACCTCACCCCAGCTCTAACCGGCAGGGCTGCCCACTCACCGAGCAGCGGCATAAAAGGAACACTCTTTAAGATCCGCACCATTTCCTTGACCTTGGGCTCTTCACTGACGAGCAGCAGATTGTGCCCAACAAAAAGGGGTAGCAGGTTTTGGTATTTGGAATCTTCTAGAAAAGGCTTCAGGACCTGGGATCACAGGAAAGAATGGCTAATGGGGGGCAAGAGGAAAAAGCCACATACCTTAGTCCCAGGCTGTGCCTCAGCGTCTCCTCAGTCCCTACCCACAGTTTAGGCACCAGACTAGGTAGCTTGTCTATTAGAACAGAGGTCGGAAGTGTCCTGCAGGAGCAGCAGCTCCCAGGTCCCCTCAGCAGGCACAGGAGGAAGGCAGGCCTGAGTGGGGCAATACCTGGTTGGGGAAGACTTTTATCAAGATCTTGTGTTTCCGCAACTGGTGCCGCAGGAGAAGCTTGTCCTCTGCGCTCATGGCCACGTTCTGGCAGACGGCAATCATCCGGTGGTCTCGAAACACTGCTGCTATGTCCCGACGAAGGAGCTGGATGAGGCCTGACTCCTGTGGCAGGATGGGATGAAGAGATATGAAGATCTCGGGGTACCCCCCCCAGGAACTGGGGTGGTCAGTGGTGCCGGAATGCACAGGACTGGAGAACAGGTGGGCAGCCCGGCCTGAGGCCTATGATGTGGAACACCTCCACCATACGCTTTCTGCTTCCACTGAGAACCGCAGGCTTCAGAGAGGGAGTCTGCAAACCTGACAGTACCCGCCCTTCTCCAGACACCTTGGCAGGCAGCCTGTTACCATAGTTAACAAGAGTTACTTCAATTATAGGCTATAGTAATACAAGCCTGTAAAATGAATTCCAGCTCCTCAGGAGGCTGAGGCAGGAGAATCAAAGGTTAAGCTTGAACTGCAGAGTGAGTTTAAGACCAAATTTTGAAACTTAGTAAGACGGTCTTGAAATAAAAGTTAAAATAAAGGCTCAGGACAGAGTTTGGTAGCAGAATACTTGTCTAGCATGTGTAAATAAACAGGTTCAATTCCCAGTGCCAAACATACACACACACACAAACACACACACACACAATTACTTCAATTATCAACATCACACTGTGCTAAGGTGAATTATTTTACCAATTTTATTATTATTAGTTCTTGTTGTTGTTTTTTTTTTAAATTTTTTTATTTATTATGTATACAATATTCTGTGTGTATACCTGCAGGCCAGAAGAGGGCACCAAACCTCATTACAGATGGTTGTGAGCCACCATGTGGTTGCTGGGAATTGAACTCAGGACCTTTGGAAGAGCAGTCAGTGCTCTTAACCTCTGAGCCATCTCTCCAGCCCTCTTGTTGTTTTTTGAGACAAGGTTTCTCCCTGTACCCCAGGCTGTCCTGGAATTCACCCTTTAGACCAGGCTGGCCTCCAACTCTGAGATCCACCTGTCTCTGCTTCCTAAGTGCTACGATCAAACATGTATGTCACCACTGCCCAGCTCATTTTATCAATTTTCAGTATGTGATGGGAGGCTGGAAGATGAACCAGTGGGTAAAGGTACTTGACACCAAGCCTGAACGAAATGAGGCCAATCCGAGGACCCAGGCTGGGTACTGGGTGCCTTTACCCTGACACCTCAGGACTTCATTTTCCCTTTTTAAAATTTACATGTTATGAGTATTTGGTCTACATGTATGTCTGCACTCCATGCATGCAGTGCCCTTGGCAGCCAGAAGAGGGCACTAGATCCTGGTGGCACTGGCATTACAGGGAGAGATATGAGTTGCTATGTGGGTGCTGAGGATCCCATCTCTGTAAGAACAAATAACTGCCGAGCCATCTCTCCAGCCCTTTAACCCCTCCAACCTTTTTTTTCTTTTTTTAAATATTTATTTATTTATTTATTTATTTATTTATTTATTTATTTATTTATTATGTATACAATATTCTGTCTGTGTGTATGCCTACAGGCCAGAAGAGGGCACCAGACCTCATTGCAGATGGTTGTGAGCCACCATGTGGTTGCTGGGAATTGAACTCAGGACCTCTGGAAGAGCAGGCAATGCTCTTAACCGCTGATCCATCTCTCCAGCCCCCCCTTTTTTTTCTTTCTTTTTTTTTTCAAAGATTTATTTATTTATTATGTATACAGTATTCTCAGTATTCTGTCTGCATGTATGCCTGCAGGCCAGAAGAGGGCGCCAGATATCATTACAGATGGTTGTGAGCCACCATGTGGTTGCTGGGAATTGAACTCAGGACCTCTGGAAGAGCAGACAGTGCTCTTAACCTCTGAGCCATCTCTCCAGCCCCCCCTTTTTTTTTCTTAAGACAAGGTCTCATTACAGTCCTGGGGGATATGGAAATCCAATATTCATAACAGCCAGAACCTGGAAACAACCTAGAAGCCCCTCAACAGAAGAATGGATAAAGAAAATGTGGTACATTTGTACAATGGAGTATTACTCAGCAGTAAAAAAAAAAAATGGCATCTTGAAATTGGCAGGCAAATGACAGAAAGACAAAGATGGTATGTACTCTCTCACAAGTGGATATTAGACATAAAGCAAAGGATAACCAACCTATAATAGTCCATGACCCCAGAAAAGACAGGAAACAAGAGAATCCTAAGAAAGGCATATATGGATCCCCCTGGGAAGAGCAAGTAGACAAGATCTCCTTAGTAAATTGGCAGCATGGGGGTGGTGGTGGTAGGGGAGTAGGGAGGGGAGAAGGGGAGCAGGGAGGAGAGCATGAGGGATCAAGAAGATTGAGTTGGGTAAAGGACAGAGAGGGAGAGCAAGGAAAGAGATACCTTGAAAGACAGAGCCATTGTGGGACTAGCAAGAAACCAGGCACTAGGGGAACTTCCAGAAAACCACAAGGATGACCCCAGCTAGGAATCTAAGTGATAGTGGAGAGGGAACCTAAACTGCCCTTCCTCTGTAATCAGATTGATGACTACTTTAATCCTGGACAACCTGGAAGATCCTCCAGCTTCCACCTCCTAAATGCAAAAGATTACAGGCTTGGGACACCACACCTAGCTTCTTCTTGTCCTTTTCAAAAGACAAAACACTTCTATCACCCCTTAGAGACACAGGGAAGCTTCAGTTCCTTTGAAACAGGAAAGGGCAGGGTGTGGCAGTCACACCTGTAATCTCAGCATCCAGGAGTTTGAGAAGAGCTTGGTTCTAAGACACCCCATCTCAAAAAAAGGAAGAAAGAAAGAAAAGAAAGGCAGGATTGAAATCCCCTCAACCTGCTTAAGAGTTTTTGCTTGTTTTTGGAGACAAATAAAAATTTTTAAGGGGGCTGGAGAGATGGCTCAGAGGTTAAGAGCACTGTCTGCTCTTCCAGAGGTCCTGAGTTCAATTCCCAGCAACCACATGGTGGCTCACAACCATCTGTAATGAGATCTGGTGCCTCTTCTGGTCTGCAGCATATATGTAGGGAAAACGCTGTATACATAATAAATAAATCTTTTAAAAAAGAAAAAAAAATTTTAAATGCAGAGAGCCCAGGCAATTCAGAGCCCAACGTCAATGCAGAATCAAGTGCTTATTTTATTATAAAGAATCTGGGATGGGTGAGATGGCTCAGAGTAAAAGCATCTGCGGTGCAAAATTGACAATCTGAATTCAATCCCCAGAACTCACATCAAAGAGCTTCATGTGGTGGCGCAAGCCTTTAATCCCAGCACTCAGAAGGCAGAGGCAGGTGGATCTCTGTGATTGAGGCCAGCCTGGTCTACAGAGTGAGTTCCAGGACAGCCAAGTTACACTGAGAAACCCTGTCTTGAAAAACCAAGACAAACAAAAGAAACCTGATGTGGTTGCCTGTATCTGCATCCACAGCATTCGTGCAGCAAGATGCGGAAGCAGAAACAGAACTTGAACCTGTCTGACCAGACTCTTACAGGCAGCATGGATTAGGCAGCAGAATCAAGACTACACAGTGGGAAGAGAGAACTGACTCCTCAAAGTTGCCCTCTGACCTCCACACACACATAATAACATACACACACACACACACACACACACACACACACAGGGCTCCGAGTGGGAAAGGGCACTAATAGCGTGAGTACCTGCATGGCTTGGGGTCTAACTTACCAGCCTTCTAGCAAATAACATACACCAAGTCTCCTTACCTCCTTGGGGGGTTTGGGAGGAGGTGGCAGACATCTGGGGTGGATGGCAGGTTTGGGAGGAATATACTCAGTTATAGCCATTAGCTTCTGCCGCTCAAAATGCATGACACGACGGTGGCGGGTCACAGCCTTGGAGCCATGGCGCACGGTCTGGAGGGTGGGTAGCCATGCTGGAAGACGGCAACACAGTAAGATATGGCTTATTATCTCTGACGGACAAAAAGAACACCCCCACCCCTACAAAGAAAGACACACAGAACTAGACAAGGCACAAATGTCTTCTCCTGGGGGGGGGGCTTATCAGTGGCTCCACCCCTTAAGACTCTCATTTCTCCGGCTTTGTAACTTGCTGATTTTTGTTTTCAGACAGGATCTCTCATAGCCCAGGCTACCTTGAATTCACTACATAACTGAAGATGACCTGCCCTGCCCACTCCACCTGAGTGCTGTTTAGGACTACAGGTATTTGCCTCTACGTCTGGTTGAAGTGTGTTGGGGATTAAGTGCAGGGCTTCCGGACACGCTAAGCAAGCATGCTACCAAGATGATTACAGACCCAGCCCTCTAAAAGTCCTTCTTATGTGCAGTGTTAGAATTTTAAAAGTTATATATATTTTTTAACCTGGTGATGTTGGCGCACACCTTTAATCCCAGCTCTCTGGAGGCAGAGGCAGGTGCATCTCTGTGAGTCTGAGGCCAGCCTGGCCCTACAATGCCAGTTCCAGGGCAGCCAGAGATGTTACATGGAGAGATCCTGTCTCAAAAAAGACCACCACTGCAATTTCCAGGTATGGCAGGAAAAGGATCAGCTAGAAGGCTCTCGGAGACCGTGGAGGATTACCAGGGTGAGATGTTGTACGGTTAACGGCGGCAGCACCTGTTACGAGCGTCTGTGGAATGAGTTGGAACTGGACTGACTGTAAGCCCTACTCTGCAGATTGTTAAGTGTTATTCTTGCCCTGCACTGAACTGGTCCCAACTCCAGTGTGCTTATCTGTAAATATAACGCCTTCCTCCCAAGGTGCTTTTGCTTTAAGATTCAAATGAGGCAATGAGTGTAAAACAGTAACCGCAATCCCTGGTCAAAAGTACGGTGTCAAATCCACTCATTAAAGACCTAATGCTTGCCTACCAGCGTCAGGCACCTTGCCACTAACTAGCTAAAATGAATGGACACCGTGCTGCCCTCCACGGGGTTGAACAAACGAGACAGGCGCATTTGGCAAAAGCAGAACTAGACTGTGAACTAGCTAAGCGGGGTTGTAAATAAATAGGATACAAGCAAAGGATTTCACGAGGAACCTGCTTCACAAAACGAGGGTTGTGAGAGAAGACGGGGAGGCTGCGTTCAGGCTGGCCTTAAGAAACGATATATTAAAATCCCAGCAAGGACTGAGCAAGGGTTAGAAAAAAACCAAAGCAGAAATAAGATTGTCGTTAGTGGCACCGTCGCTGTCATTACCAGAGTGTGTATGGGGGAGAGGGTAGGGGTGGAGGGGATGGGATGTCACAGAGAACTGGACCCAATCAGATCAAGAGACCCGGCTAGTGGCGGGGTCACCGAGAGCTGTCAGAGATTACGGGAAAGGTCCGAGGGAAAGGCGGGAGAGAGCTAGAGAGCGCTGGCCTGTCCGCGGTCAGGCCCTGGGTCTCTCCTTACCCGCCCGGGGCGGGAGACCTCCTCGAAGTATCCCCGCCACCGCCGCAGCCATCGCTACAGGAAGTTCCCACGAGCGCTGCGCGGAGACGGAAGGAGCTAAGGATTGTGGGGCTGCAAGGAAAGCCCAGGGCCGGAAACAATAGGTGAGCCGCCGGATAAAGCCGCTATCCGCATGCGTAGACTCGGGCCTCTAGTGCCCGCCCCCACGCCTACGTGGCGTCCCGTCTCCTAGCAACGACGCGAGCCCTCAAGGAACCGTTCTTTTCATCCCTCCGGTCTTTTCAGTTTGCGGCCAGTGAAGTCACGCCAACAACTTCTAACTCCAGATCCTTCGCTCCGATTTATCCCCGTCTTCCACCGCACACCCAATAACTGACTCTGAACCAAACGTCCCTCTCCTTGTCTCCTCAATCTTCCCTCCAAACTGGGTTTAGCCACCGGCCAGCTAAGCTTGCCTCAAACAGCCGCTATTTACTTTAGGTCATGCCAGGAAGTGAGCAGGAAGGTGAGCGGGTAGCAGAACAATTGGACTACGGTCGGGTCAGGTTTCCGAGAATGAAGACAAGTGACAAAGGGGCTGCCCTTCTTTTCACAGCTAAGAAGGCTGCCCAGAGCACCGAGGAAGGGGAAGTCCCCATCACCGAAGCCCTTATCACCAAGAGGAACTTGAACTTCCCTGAGGATGAAGACCTGTCAGAAAAGATGTGAGTGCAGGCGAAGGGAAGGGGTAACTGAACACTGAAGCGCAGATGTTCAGTTTGCTGAGCTGCATGGATTCTGGGACTCATTTTTGTCTCTTTAGTTACACCGTACTCCAGCCAGTAGTACTTCCCAGTTGGTTTTTCTTTCTTTCCTTC